GAGACTTGGAGTCTACTCTTCTGGATCGGACTCGAAATTTTGACCAGATGGTGGAGGCTGAGCGAGAGAAGGCGGTCTGGGATTTCAAGGACTCCTAGGAATATCACGACCTCCAGGTGGAATACGGCTCGAGTTCGTACCGCTCTGGGTTTAAGCTCTGCCGGTGGTTGGTTCGGAAGAAATTCTCCGGGCTCAACCTTGACAGCATCACTATGAAGGGCCTGTCTCCCGAGACGGCGGACCAGGTGAAGGAAGAGGAGCCTGACTCTCCGTTGGACGAAGACGAGGAGGCGGATCCTTGAGGCTTTGGCGTGATATTCCTGGACTGAAGCACCGATCTGAAGTGTCCAAGCTGGGTCCGCTGCTGAAGTCAGAACATCAACTGTTTCTTCCATGGGTGCAGCTCGCTCTTCGCTCTGCTCCGTAGGTCGCTCCAGTTCGAGGTCGTCAGCCGCCTTGGTCTTCCCCTTAAGGGCGGCGACATAGCACTTGCGGGACTCAAGTTGGTCGCCCCGCGCTACCCCCACACCGAAGTTTGTAGGGAACTTCATCGCCAAATGGTAAGTGGAGACCACTGCCCGTAGGACATGGGTGATCGGCCGGCCTATTATGGCGTTGTATAGGGAGGGGATCGCGACCACTAGGAAGTCATGGTTGAGTCTGACTACGCTGGGCCATGTGCCGACTTCCACAGGTATTGTTATTTTCCCGAGGGGCCTGACTTCTTCTCCGCTGAAGCCCACCAAGGGAGTGTTTGCGGGCCTCAAGTCACTTCCCTGCAACTAAAGCTGGTCGAACGCGGCTTTGAAGAGGATGCCCGCCGAGCTACCTAAGTCAACGAGGACGCGCCTGACCTCGAAATCATTGATCCTTACTTTTATGACAAGCGCGTCGTCGTGGGGGTAGTAGACCCCGCGCGCATCGTCCTCCGTCTTCGACCGCTTTGGAGGATTTTGTTCCTCTCTGGCAGCTTCGCGAACTAACGTCCGAGCTGCCACTGAGGTGCAACCTGCAATGATCGAGCCTCCCACTATCATGTGGATGGTGCCCCGAACTGGCCTCTCTTCCGGAGGCTGCCTCTGTTACTGCTCGGCCGACCTGCTGCTGGACTCGGGAGCATCCTTACCGTGCTCCCCTTGCCGACCTGCCCCATACGTGAAGTGGCCACCCCGCCTGAGGGGGAATCCCAATGAAAGAAATAAAAATTTGTATTGTAGTTTTCACAGAGACCACTGATGCGGCACGATCCGGGCACTCCTAGTTGGTTGCTGACTGGCTCCTTGTTGGCGACGGACGGCACCTGAGAAGATGGAAAGGAAGGATTCCCGGGGATTTTACCCGGTGGGAATACTCCGATGCTTAAGTTAGAACGCAGGGGAAAGAGAAAAGAAGTGTGCGATAGCTAAGAGTGTAGGTCGCGCTTTTTCACTATGCTTGACAGATTAGAAGTCTGAAGAAGAAGTTTCTCTTCTGCCCTAAGGGCTTTTATAGGGGCGTTCTTGTCAGATCGGGCGTAACCGCCACTGGGCCCCTGCCACAGTCGTTACCTGCCAGTGCTGCGTAGGTGGCCTGTCGAAAGGACAGGGACTGCGCCGTCAGTTAAGGGACGTGGCGCAGTCTGATCGGTACGACCTGTCAGATGGAAGCTTCCTGAGGAACGCTCGTGCTGCTCATTCACGAGTTACTTTGTAGCGAGCTCGGAATGCTTCAGGGTTACCCTTAGTAGAATTGGTCCCTGGGATGACTTATCTGCTTGGGGGCTCGGGTGAGCTGGTTTCCCTAGCTCGCGAGCTAAAGTTGCCTCGGAATATCCCTTTCAGGGTAGCTCGGGGAACCCGAAGCTCGCGTTGTGGCGAGCTCCTTCTTTTGCGAGCTACGATGTAGCAAGCTGCTTTATGGGCTCGTTACTTGGTCATACTAGGCAACGATGTTGAGTTGTTGCTCATGATCTTGGAGAACTGAGATACTTCTTAGGCATTGAAGTTGCAAGATCAAAACATGGAATTTTTATCTCTCAAAGGAAGTATGTCTTGGATCTTCTTCAAGAGACAGGGAAGCTTGGAACAAAGGCAATCAGCACCCCTATTGATCATAACCATAAAATCAATGCATCAGAAGGTGAA